CATGACTTCTAGGAATAACACGATGCAAATCATATCAGGTATGAAGCAATACCAGCTTCAGAGGGCATCATTCATTGTTTTGCCTAAAAAGCAAGAACTGTCCAAACCCAGTCATAGAGTTATTTATAGATCCAGTCAAAGATATATTTTAGTCATTTCTGGTTTAAATTGAGATCCCTTCCCTTTATAATTCACTTATCCTCTGCCATTCCCAAGTCAAGGGTCGTATATACTGACCCAATAGCATATCTTGAAAACTAGAGCCAATCAACGATTTTAAGCATCATTTTCATTCTCAGTGACCCAGAATTAGTAAAGTTTGACTACATTTATTTCAGAAGCATTTTGGCTGTAGAGCAGTGTTATATGTTGTGCAAAAGATTGTTTCGTTTTAAATATTCAGAATTTATTGCCATTTAAGTTCGAGTACCTTTTTCTTTTTGTATTCTGGAAATGGGAAAAATACTAAAGAAACAAAATTTGCTTATGACATGAAGGAAGATACAGTAATAGGAAAGTATATTTTCTAAATATATCATTCTTTCTGAAACTAAATTATAAATAATAATAAAAAGGGTGCTTTTGCTTTGTTATTTTACTTGGTCTGTTGTATTAGTTCTATTTTGCCTGTTCTTTGAGACTAAAACCCATGCACAAAATGTAGACAGACGGGGAAATAATGTCTGGTTATAGCTTGGTACGAAACATAAAAACATCCTTGGCCTTTTGACTCTGGTGATCCCTGCGAGGGAACTGCCTTTGTCCTTTGAAAAGATCATTGTTTCCCAACACAAACACTGAATATCAAGTCATCTAATCATTAACAGGTCTGTAGAGATGCAGCTCTGAGGGGTTAAATCTTGACTGGCACAGACAGATCAAAAAGGTCCATTAATTTAAAAGCCAGATTTTTTTCCCATAGTTTATCTGTACAACATGTGTTTTCAATTTAGTTTTATAAACAGCAATTGTAACCGACATACTAAGGTTGAATGCAGTTCCACCAAGCGGATTGTTGCATAAATAAAAGTAACAAAGTACAGTATGAAAGAAATAAACAATGTGTTGTTATGTACAAAAGGACTTAATTATAATAATGTTTGATAGTCTGACATAAAGTAATGTGCACTTAGGTCCAGCCAATCTATACAAAAATGATCTTTTTGCAACTTTGTATTGTGATAGCTCTGGGGCCATCCTAGGTTGGGCAGGGTGAGCCACAGGTCAGCCAGTTTCATAACAGCTCTGCAACAGTTACTGTATTATGGTACTTTTTAAACCTTTTTTGGAGAGTTAGGCAAATTGTGTCTGTAACTGATTGACCTTTTTATTACCGTATATTTGAAAAATGACAATCTGAAATGTAGTGGACAAATGTCAGTTTCTTTCCACAAACTTGTACTGAATTTAGCTATATTAATATTCAGTTATTGGCAGAAGTAGTTGCACCATTAACTTGTTACTATTGTATATTATTTTTTATAGAGGGAGAAAAATTAGGCATCTGGGTTTACTACCTGTATTGCAAACTTCAACTTGTTGCAACTTAAAATGTCAAAGGCATTGTGTTCATGTAAGATTATATATTTTAAAATTTCATCCACCATGAAAGTCCCTATTGTTATTAGTGGTCATAATAATTCTTGGTAATTTTCCTTTAGTTTCCTGACATATGTTCTTTTATATCTCGGTCTTTTTGGAGTCCTTTTGATCACTGAGATCTTGAAGGAAGGTAGAGCTAGATGGTATATTCTAGAAACTGTACATGTACTGTCACATTGTATTGAGTGCGTGGGTGGAGAGGTGAACTTTTGATCTATTTGAGCATTAACAATACTCATGTGGGATTTTAACTGTTCAATTTTGCCTTGCTGTTGTGCAGCCAAATAAAAGCATGTGTTCAGTGCTAACGTGAGCATGGTGTTTGAAAAGGGTTTCCAGCATAAAAAGAATTTGTGGTCCTGAAAATACCCTGGATATGAAAAGGGTAAACGTACTCTATACCTTGCATCATGTGACAAATGCTTGTCAATTAAAACAAGATCCTTTTGCTCATTAGACTGTACTGCTTAATCAGTTTTAACACTTCTGTTTGTCTGATTAGTGTGACTTAGCAAGTTAATAGGGACAACACAGTTAATATTGCACTTAGACTTCAGGAGTGAAAGATGTTAATTGTCTCAAATTTTCCCTAGCCATGAAAATATATGCAATACTGGGGGGAGGTTTTATGGACTGTGATCACTATTGTTGTATTGTAGATCAGAACTATGCCACAGAGTGAAGAAATATCTGAAAAAACATTGTCCGCTCTTTCTTATTGTTTTGTGTAATATGGCCAGCCTGTTCTAAGGCCCTGCCACACTACAGTTTTTAATTGTGTTTGTAACAACTCACTGGTATGGTTTGGGCCTGCGCACACCACATGATTTATATGCTGCTAGAATCCATAACAGCCAGTAGTATTTCACTCCTGCCAGAAGCCTGGGTTGGCACATGATTATCTTCCTATAACCAGTCAACATGCTCTGTGTTTGGTAGGTTGAGCTGGATCACCTGGCTTTGTTTAATAGGTTTAATTGTTTAATTGTTATTAGCATTGTTAGGTTTAATAGATGTTCCTTCTTCCTCACAACTATGGTGTGATAGAGCATCCCAGAGCATATTGCTGTGTGTATCTTTGATGCTACTTTTTGTTTGTCTGCAGGGCTATTTCCTGTCACTATGGAAGAATAACCCATATTTTTCCTAAATGGATGGAAGCAAATACAGTTTATCAGAGAGCTAGGGTCAGACACAAATATGTTGAAAGACTACTCTATGGACAATGAATTGCCCTATGTTACTTCATGTCATTTAAGGTCACTACCATTTACGGGTTACAAAATCACAGCTGGAAGTTATGTGCAGATAGGCCTAAATTAGAGAGAGACACCTCAGAGATTAGTTATGAAAGGGCAGCCTTAAATGCACACTCTAACTTACACTGAGGCCAGGGCTGGGGAAGAGACTCAGGGAGCCATAGCCTACACCTTAATGTCACCCTCCCACCCCCTTCTTTCCCCCCCACCCCAAATCCCTGCCACCCTCAGCTCAAACAGAAGCTGAACACAGCAGAGAATCAGATCTATATACTTCAACAAAAGTTTATAAATGTAACATCTGGGTGTATAACTCAATGACCCAACGATGATATATGAAGATTCTTTGGTATTTTCATCAGTTGTTTATAACAATTCCAGGAATCTTAGAAATGAAATCTGTTTTTTACTGAAATGTTTATGCTCCAACACACTGAAAAGATGGTATGTTACTGTAAGGGGTTGCTTGTGAATGCTGGGCTAGTATAATTGATTTTCTTTTGATTCATTGAAGAAAAATGAGCACTGCGGAATTTGTTGTCAAAATATTTTAAAAAATTAAGTGACATTTACAAACAGATTTTTTTTTTAATTGTCAAATTTGAGGCCCTTCAACCTTTATGATGTCTCATTTACCTACTCTGGATATTTGACCCTCTTTGACCCCTTACTAGTAAGTTTCTGATAACTTGAAGTAAAATTTGATGTTACCTGCTTTTTCTTTGTATTCAGGATGTGAATGAAGATCCAGGAGAGGATGTTGCTCTTCTTTCAGTCAGTTTTGAGGATACAGAAGCTGCTCAGGTTTTCCCCAAGCTATATCTGTCCCCACGTATTGAACAGTAAGTAGAATAATTGTTGAGTATTCCAGTTCTTCTCAGAACTTTTAATTTGTACTCTGATTGTTTATGTAGGAAGTCTTTGGTAGGCCATAAAACCACTTTGACTTTTAATTGACAAAAGCCATGATAGTGATTAATGTAATTGGCTTTGACTGGAAGGGAGCAATTCAGTTAGTCTTGCCAGTTCCATTTTTATGTGCCTACCACTTATAGAGCTGAGCCACCATTGGCTAGACTGTTGTGGGGTCCACTGATCCCTGAAAATCAACCTACATTTTCCTGGAATGACTCGTACTGGAAGCGGCATCAGGTTCAGCTTAGCAGGCAGATTTCCCCCAGGGATGGGAGAGCTTTGTTTTTTTAAGATTGTGTTTATATATCTATGTATGTGTAGGTGTGTACTGTGCCTGTGCGTGATTGATACATATTCCCTGAAGAGAGGCAGTTTGTACAATAGAAAGGGATACAGTTAAGCAGTTTCAAATCAATGTTTATTACTAGAGCTGTAAGACTATATTTGTTAACTGTGGTCAGGAATTTGCAGTCTCAGTAAGATGTTTTTCCGGGGGGGGGGGGTGTCAGAATATTTCATTTTAAGGTTGTTGGACAACACAGTTGGCACACAGACTTGCTAATAAACTAATTTTTACTCCTAAAATGGAAGGGTCAGAGGGAAAAATCTAATTTAGGAAGCAGATAGATTTCGCTTCTTCCATTTTTGGAATTAACAATGTCCCAATGTTCCCCCTCCCCTTCAGTCTTGAAATATCTGCTTGAAAGTTTCATGAAAAGCACTTCAGGCTTACAAGTGACTTTCACTTAGAGATAAGTTGGAAGATCTTGTAGTGCAAGTCCTTATTTTGCACGGCACCTGACAAATGAAAGTTTCCCAAAAGAAAAGCTTCCTAGTTTATTACCTTGAAGAAAACTTCAAAGATTCATAATGCCCTTACAGAGGAATATTGAAAAGTCTTCTTAGTATGGGGGAGTAGGTCTGGTTGCCTAACTCTAACCCTAACTCTAGAGTGCAGAATAAGGAACCAAGGGTAGTGGGGGAAGTGTTTGATATTAATAAATACACTTTAAAAGGAGAGCTTGTTTTTCATCTTCTTTTGTTTTGCCTTGTTAAGCATTTTACTTGGTTTATCTACATTACTACACAGAAGTAACTATATTAGACTTTGCAGTTACACAGAGGTCAAGTTAAAGCTAACATTGATTCAGTGCTTTTGTTTTTCTGGTCAATAGTGAAATGACATTCCTTTCAACTGCTGAAAACACCTTGGGTGGAGTAGAAGAGATGGAAAAGTACTGACTACAATAGTTTTAGCATAGCTCACTAATAATGCATAGAGTTTGCGAAAGGGCATGACATTCTGATATTTAAACCAAAAAGGCATTGATATGGATAAGCTGGATGACCAAGTAGATGGGTTAAAAAAACCCTGAGATAAAATCATAAGGTTTACAAGGTATCTGGGAAGAAAAATCTGTAGAAAATGTATATATTGCTTCTTTTGAGTTTGTCTTTTTAGCATCTAACCTTATTTTAGAAAAGGTTTTTGTTCTCTCCTTCATTTAACATTATTTATGGCTGTGTTGATTTCATTAGTTGCTCATTTTAAATACAAGTCATTTTCTCTGATGAGCTTTGTGATAGTGAAAAGGTTAGCTCAGGTACCCTTGATTAGGGTAACAAGTTGCATGCAGTTAGATTAAAGTAATTGATTATATGAACTGATTTCTTTTTTAATAAATGCTGAATTAACCTGATTGTATCATCAAATGCATTTAATTTAATGAATTTAGGCAAGTTACATAATTTCTCTGGGCCTATTTATTTTTCTATAAACTGTTGTACTTAGTTACAGTGCTCCACAAGTGTGTTGTGAGGTTTAACTAATACATTCATTAAAGTTGTTTGTTGCCCTTAGATAGGAGATTCAAATTAGTAGTAGTAATAATAGTATTGCTGGTACTTTTTTGGCCAGAATAATGCAGATAATGGTCAGTTACTTTACTTGGTAATTTCACTGTCCCTATCTCAAGTACAAGTGATGATATATTGGTCTACCATAAATTTCCTCTCTGCAGTGTGTAGGGAAGTAATTATACAGAAAATCTGCAGGTTGAAGGTGCATTAGTATCTTATCTCCACCCCCCCCCTACCCCACCCCCCAGCTGCCTAGGTCTTACTATTCTTCTCTAGCAACTATGCAGGTGTTCTAGGTAATCATATTTTCAGACAGAACACCATGTGGGGCTGACCCAAGGCCTCCCCCACTCTGAGGCAGGGCCGGCTCTAGGCACCAGCATTCCAAGCATGTGCTTGAGGCGGCACTTCTGAAGGGGCAGCAGTTTTTGTTTTGCTTCGGCAGCGGCACTCCCCTTTTTTTTTTTTTTGCTTGGGGCGGCAAAAAACTTGGAGCCGGCCCTGCTCTGAGGGCTGGGGCTGGCATCACTACTCTTCCCCTTCCTCCCCCCCCCCATGTTCCTCCGCACCCTACTTTTTTGACAGAAGTGGGTATTAGTCCTGTTTGCCAAAGAAGTCAGGTCGGCCAGGTCAGGGCTTAAAAAAGGGACTGTCCCAGCCAAAACGGGACATATGGTCAACCTAGTTCCACTTCATGGAGACAGAGGGCATGTTGATGAAAAGGGAGAAGAGTTGGGGGAACAGCCTCTCAATTCAGCATGTTTCCCATTCAGAGTAATTGTTCCTGATTAACTCTGTGTGTGGACACTCTTGTTCAGGAGTGGAGTTATTCAGGAACAGGTGTTGCGCTTTAAAATCACACTGTGCCGTAATCCCAGTTAACTTTCAAGTATAGACAAGCCCTTAGTAAGTTTTACTGCCCTGACCAGAGGTAACTCAGCCCCTTCAACAGCCTGAAGATAGCAGAAGTACTTAGTTGATAGATGACTAACCAGTGGCAGCACATCAGTGCCAAAGCTCAGAGGATGGTACTGTATGGAAAAGTGTGGAAGTGGAAGAACTGTCTTCACGGGGCAGAGATCCTTGGTGTCCTCTCTGAGCTTGTCTACACTTACCAGAGGATCGATGCATCGGCGGTCGATTTAGCGGGTCTAGTTAAGACCCGTTAAATTGACCACCGATCACTTTCCTGTCGACTCCTGTACTCCACCTGGTCGAGAAGAGTAAGGGGAGTCGATGGGAGAGCGTCTCCCGTCGATGTCACGTAGTGCATATCCAGTGGTAAGTAGATTTAAGCTATGTCGATGTCAGTTATGCTATTCATGTAACTCAAATTGCGTAGCTTAGATCGATTTTTCCCTTTAGTGTAGACAAGGCCTTTGTCTTTTCCTGTGGATCTTGGACCAGGGAAGACAGGCATGCCCCTTTCATGCTCCAGTGCCACAGTGCTTTCTCTATGAGAAGATTCAGAAGAGAGTTGAGCTTAACAGACCCATAATGATTTGCAGGTGATTTTGTCCTACCTGCTACTGCTTTCACATTAGAGAGGAATATATTGGCCACAGAATAGCCATAGGCTCGCTGTCCAGTTCTCTCACCCACATTGCAAAATAAGATGTGATCTACACCAGTGGTTCTCAAAGCCAGTCCACCACTTGTTCAGGGAAAGCACCTGGCTGGCCGGGCCGGTTTGTTTACCTGCCACGTCCGCAGGTTCGGCCGATCGCGGCTCCCACTGGCCGTGGTTCGCCGCTCCAGGCCAATGGGGGCGGCAGGAAGGGCGGCCAGCACATCCCTCGGCCCCCGCTGCTTCCCGCACTGTGAAAATGTTTCAGAGCTCTTATTTCTGTCAGAAAGTGTTTCCAGCCAGCCTTCCCACATATGTTCGTGTTATCCATGTGATAAATTATATTTACTATGTACCTCTAACTCTCTCATCTGCCACACAAATTTTGGGCCTACGCTTTGCTCCAGAGAGATGCCCTGGCTTCAATGCCTCTGTTTCTCACTGTGGCTCCTTTAGCAGGTCAAGCTGAGTTTGGACCCTAGTTACTCCCTTGGAAGCTATGTAGCCAGCAAATGTTTGCAGTGACACAGGATAGCCATTTCAAAACAATAGATTATTTTCTTTTCAGCAAGAATACAATAGTCAGGGACATTGGGTTAAAATGGCAAGGAAAAGTCTAAATGCACAACTCTACCCTAACCTTGAGCTTCCCCTTGCTTGGCTAAGGCTATGTCTACATTACCACTTTCGTGGGAAGCAGCAGCCAGCACATCCCTCGGCCCGCGCCACTTCCCGCAGCCCCCATTGGCCTGGAGCGGCAAACCGCAGCCAGTGGGAGCCGCGATCGGCCGAACCTGCGGACGCAGCAGGTAAACAAACCAGCCTGCCCCGCCAGGGGACTTACCCTGGCAGGCCGCATGCCAAAGGTTGCCGATCCCTGATATAGCCTAAGAGCATTTTCCTGGAAGACAAACTACATGCCTGCACCTGGCCCTGCCCAACGGCCCCTGATTTGATTGGATTTAGCTCTCTTCTGCTGGGAGAGCAAAGTTTCTTATATAAGCCTCTTCTTAACACATCTCCTTTATCTCAAGTCCCAGTCACACTGTTTTCATGTGTATTGCCCTTCTTGGGTTTAGATCAGGGAGGGGTTGTGTCCAGACCGATAATCACCCATCCACATTCTAAAAAGTCCCTTAAAGTTGTTAAAAGTTAATGGTCCAGTCGTTGTCTGCACTGTATCTCCAAGATGGCTCTGTTCACAGTGTTGACAATTCTTGATAATTCATTTATACCAATCCAGACACTTATGTGATCCACAGCTAGTCCATACATCCCTTTTCACCCTCTTCCTATCAAATGGTTCTGGAAAGAAGTTAACTCCTTGGAACCAAGTAGATAGCAATACAAAACTGAGCAGGTAAACTGAATCAAGCCTACTTTTCATAAAAATAATATAGAAATTTCCTGCATTCTCCACAACTTGCTTTACAAGTGGAGTGATACAAAAAACAATACCCATATATTTTTTAATTCTTTAAAATATTTTATTTCTGTTTT